TCGGGATGGGTCGTTCACGGATTCATGATCCCAACAATTAAGGTAATTTTTTTATTATTTTAATTATTCATATGAAAATTTAATCAAAAAAAATTATATTTATGATTTAATATTATAATTTTTTGGATTGTGTAGAATCTGCGTGGACCAATTGTATGTGTCGGTTACTAGTCAAGAGTCGGAGGGTGATTCATCATCTCCAAATGTCTACATGTCACGGATATATCTCAAAGTCTGTAGGAGGGGAGAAAAAACATAGAGTATACGAGCTTAAGTCATAGGCGTTTCGGTATTACTCATATTCCGGTGCTAGCTCGTCCTCTGTCACTTCTTATTTCCCCGGTCTGTATGTAACGAGATCATGAGCGAGTGCCAACAAAAGTTGGAGGACATACAACATGACTATACTAGGTGGATCCAAGAGGTGGAGAACAAATACAAGGTGAAAACTAGCTTATCCAACAACTGATGTAGATGATGTAGCAATTGTTAGAGGAATTCACTAAGGAGTCGAGGTCTTTTTATTAACCCCGTCTTTACTAGGAATTCGTTTTTCCTTTTGAAACCCGAGCAAGAGAAGGATGAAGCGACAAATGATCTTGATGAGGACTCGGTTTTCTTTTACATTATTCTTTTTAATATGTTTGTATTTTGAATGATATATATATATATATATATATATATATATATTAAATTTGATTTTATAGTCATTTAATATTATTCTATGATATTTCGTGTTATAATTTTAGTTTTAGTTATTGACTACTATGATAGAACATTTAAAACCCTATTAATGAAATATAAATAAAAAAACTTAATCTAGCGACGGATCATCGACACCCTAAAAAAAATAATAATTTAACTATTAGCAATGGATACCAATGATAGATCAATGACTATAATTAGTGACAAAAGTTAGTAATCGATTTCATACCAAACATACGACCGTTTACAACAAAATAGCGACGAAAATACATCAAAATAACGTTAATATTTTTGTCATTAAATAGTGCTAGATAGTGAATCCGTTGCTAACAAATTTAGCAACAAGCATTTTAACAACGGTTTGTTCTCATCGCTATTCCATTGCTAAACCAATAAAGGGATGAAAATTTTAAGTTTAGTGATAAATATTTCCATTGTTATTTTGCTATTTTTTATAGTGAAATTAGAAACTCGAGTTATTATTTAAAAATAGATATAGCTATTTACTTTTTTTTTAATTTAAAAATTCAAGTGACTATATATTATTATTGGTTATAATATTGATTTTATTGGCAGTACTTTTTATTTGTTGTCAAAATTATTGTTGTACAATATATGTCCTTTCAATATCATATTCTAAATTATTAAGAGTTGTAAAATTGCCATATTAGAATTTTATAAGGTTAGTATTATTAATGATTCTTGAATTATAATTTATTTTTTTATTTTTTATATTTACAGATAATGAAGTATTTTCAGTTAATTTTTATTCAAACCATCTCATATTGCATCCATATATATATATATATATATATATATATATATATATATATATATAATGTTTTGTAACTCACTCATACCAATGTTATTTTATCTTCTAAAAGGTCTTGAAATTAATAATTATTATTATTTGTTTAAAAACAAAACCCACACACATGTAGATGTTAATTAGCTGTTTGCAGGTACGATTAATGAATGAGACATGAAGAGAACACCATCATTAATAATTAATATTCCATACATCATAACATAGTTCAGTTCAAAGCCCGGATCAATTCAATGAAACTAGAAAGGTTCAGCTCCAATTAATAGGATCGAAGTAAAAGAATATTGTCTCATCAACAGTCAAATCATAATGTTCATTATGAACTAGAGTATAGCATTTTACAAAAAACATATTTTTTATCAGTTAGCATTCAAGCTTTACAAGATTAAAGGTAGAAGACACGTAATTTACTAATTATTTCGGCTACTTCATGCCCCATTACTTCAACTTGCTTTGCGGCACCGTTCACTTTAAAAGAAGAAAAAGAAAGGGAGAACAACATTACCAAGCCCTACGTGTATCATATGGTTTCTAGGGTTAAGAAGCAACCAAAAAGAAGTGGGGTTAAAGAGCTTTAAATGGAAAAGAACCTAACCATTCCAACATCCAAATTCTTGTTTTCAATAATTACTTCTATATTTAGTACACACATATATATATATAATAGTAAAGACTTAAGAGATTTTTATTAGGTTTAAGGTTTATTTTTTGGAATCCTGGTACAGAAGATGTTGACGTCAAAAGATTTAAATTTTATTAAGATGGCTAATTTGAACTGATCCACTCTCTATATATAAAGAGTCCTAAAATTGGATTAGGACGGCTTTGTGAGCCGATGAAAAATAACGATGACAATTTGATACTTTCTTGTCAGTGAAATCATCTGTCTGTATAAGAACCAAAGGAATCCAAACCAATCCAATTTTGTAACACGAATAAGATCGGGAATCAAAATCCCTCGAACTAACCAGTTGGCTACTAGGCTGGGCCCAAGAAATGGTACCTAGCTAGTACCTAGTCTATTTTTCGATTTGGCATAACATTCCCTCCTCCTCCTCCTTTATAGGAGATCATATGATCAATTCGCATAATAATTTACAATCCAGGATCTATAAAAAATTAATCTTGTGACAACTAACAAAATTCACAAGAGTTCAAATAGTAGAATAGGAAGCGATGAAGCCAAAATCTAGTCATTGAAAGAGTCAAAGATCATTTTAGATAGTCATTCTATAAGAAAGGCTAAAAAAAAAAAAAAAAAACCTAAACGAGATGCAGCTGTGGCATGCCAAGTCCCCACATGATAAGAAACCAGCAATGGCCGGTTGAGTATGGGTTAAAATTGTGGGGTTCAATAATTACAATCACGACTTCGGCTACTTCGGCGCCTTTAGTAGATCAGCTACAGTTATTGTCGGCTTCCCGTGTCAAAAATTTCGGCCATTATTTGGCACCTTTTGCTTGACCCATGATTTGGTCCCCCTTCCTCATATTCTTCCTTTTCTTTCTTTCTCTTTTTCTTTTGAGGAATCGAAGTTTTAGCTTCAAGCTACATACTTCTTTATTCGTTTTTTGAACTTTGAGCTTTTAAGTCCCAGAGTGGACAAATACATTGGGTAATTTCTTCTTTATGCTTCTAGAATATAAGCATGGGAGTTATGGTTTGCGATATAAAAGGTGCTTTGTTCGATTTTGCTTTGAAATTGGATCCGAATTATCAATACTTCACGTGCACCTCAAGTAGATCTTTTAGTTATTCTTAGCTAAGGAGTGATTTTTGGACCAAAGAGATGTGGTCTAAGATATTATTTGGTGGACTAACCCCACCTAGCTTGTTGTGATCCAAAAGACCACTCATTTGTAAACAAAGTCACGATAAAATATTTAATATTTATCTTTACTGTAAAAAAATAGTCTATATATTCCTCCATATCAAATCACTTTCTAATTAAAGCACAGATAGAAAGAGGTTTAATAAAAAATTAAAAAAAAAAAATCTTAGAATATAAGCATGGGAGTTAAGGTATGTGGGAGTTATTTGGTTTTAAAAAAAAGTAGATTTTTTTTTTTTTTGAGAAAAAACCGATCAATCTTATTTTGTTGACCCATGTTAAAACTCAAAAAATCAATCTTGTTTTCTAGGACAAAAACTCATCGTGAGATCCATGTGAACCCCATGTTAAGAGATTCATGTAGATCCCATATTGAAAACTCAAAAAGTTAAGTTTTTCGAACAATTAAAACTTACTTTGACGATTTTCTAGTCTTTCATAATATCTATCACAACTCTTTTAATCAAATATTTTTTATTTTTAACGAAAGATAACCTTAGTTAGTATTAATTAATAAAAAAAGTCCTACCAATCTTCTTTAGACCAGCTTTTCAGAACCAACCTTGTACAAGATATTTTAACAAAAAGGGGTATGGCGTCATTCATGGTGGTGGATACCTTAATTTCCAGGAGTCAACAAAAGCCCAAGACATCAACAAAATAATCCAGAATTGAAAGCAAGGGCCCATTTAACAGAATCCCAGGGTTGATTTCCAATTCCAGTTAAGAGAATACCAACCAAGGTTGTTGAAGGAAGCAGCACTACTTTCGTGAACCCACAGTACGAGTCCAAACCTATGAGCTCCTTACTGTCAGGTCAAAATAAGCTAATTTTTCACCTAAATTACCTTAAGTCTTGACATGAGTGGCTTGCCGGAGATGGAGATGTAGACTTTACATAATCTTAATGCAGAGAGGTCTATTCTTTTCCCTCAAACACCACGTTTTGTGTCTGTTCACTCTGTAGTGAATGGTTCGGAGAGATGACCTAAATCGACCAAATTCATTCCATCCTACCCTAAATTGACCCAAGTCAATCTATTTGTCTCGACATCAGCAGCAAGGCACGCCTCTGGGTCAAATGGCAGACGCGTTAGTCAATGCTCATTGTCCTAGTTTCCAAAAGTAACTTTCGATTGTCAAGACTTGAAACCTCTAGACATGGTCATTTATTCTAAAGATGGAGTTCATAGATAAGCAAAGACCATGGAACAGCATGAAAAGAGCTAAAGAGACTGACACCTCCTGCGTGTTCAGCCCGTCAATCCTACCCTGAAAACGCCAGGGGACTTCTCCAGTGCCATTGGTTGAAAAGAAAAGGCACTGCCTTGATTGGATATCCTGTCATTAGCTGCTGCAATCAACCGGATATTGATCTATGAAAACTATCATTTCCAATAAAAACAAACCCATAAGGTCTACAAGAATTTATTCCACTGATGAGAGTACAATTAAGGTTATGACAAAATGACATTTGACATACACGATATACAGATCACTGCCTATTTGATAGGTTAACTCAAGGAGGTCAAAACGAAACTTCATAGCTGATCATTATATAAAATAAAAATGAGTTTCAGGAGGATGCATCAGCACATTGACGAACATGCCAAGATCAGAAAACCTCTATAAAGAAATCATGCATTTCCCTCGGCTTTCTTTTGATATACTTCTTCAAGGCATTCTTTAGCTCTATGAACCTTTGACTGGAGATAAAAGCTCCCATTTTTGGCATTATTCTCAAACAACTTGTCATATTTCTACACGCAAGCAACAATTGACATGTTAGCAATCCGTGAAAGATCTGATCTAATGCCACAACGAAAAGTCTTAAGAACAGTTTCATCTAAACAATGATTCCTAATCTTTTATATCTTAATGGAGAACCAGGCATGATCTCTTACTCGTATGTTAATGCTCTAACTTCCACTTATTCATATGAATTTTGAAACATAAAATTTAAAAAGCACTAATATCCTATGATGCTCATTTATGTTTCATGGAGATTATGTTCCATGCAACATATAAAAGCTAAAACTAACATACAAATAACACAACTTTAATAACCATCCTAAATGTTCGATTCAAATGGATTTGCATTTCTCAGCAATGGAAATCCAATAAGGAACAAAGGGATTGAAATAGGATTTCTAAACTTCCTAGAATACATATTGTTCACAAATAATATAGTAACTAGCATTATTTTCCACCCAGGACATGCATTCCTGAGGGCTAAAAACATACCTGCAAGATCTCCTCCCATGTTGAATGCTCAGTGATGCCTAGAACTTGCCTGGCCTCTGGTTCAGCCATCATTTTACTTCCTCTTCTAATATTCTGCACTGTTTCATGGGCAACGCCAGATTTTGAAGCATCTGCAATTGGTCAAAGAAGTTGTGAACCAGATATTGAAGGAGGCTTAATAAAATATGAAAATAACTAAAAGTGAGGCTTTCAAAGATCGGTGACCACCAATCTAAGCATCTGCAAGTGCTGAATTTGGAAAGAAAACCATACTGGCAAGTGCCTGACGGTATGCTTGAGCAAACGCCCTCACCATAATTCCAGAGCCCATGACAAGCAAATTAGCAAGCAGCTTTGCAGCCTGAATAAACACACAAAAGCATGTTAGGTACATAATCATCTCTCTTCAATAGTCCCCTTTTCACTTTCACTTGAGGTGCTAGGTCCACAGATCCCTGCCAATTGGAATTGTCTAATGAACCACATAGCAATCTGTACTACCGTTATCCATGCCAACAGCATACAACATTGGCATACAAGAATAATAAACCAGCAACCAGTCTTACTGTGCCCAAAGAGGCCTTCAGCATTATCCGAAATTTAGAACAGACGTACATTGGTTAAATAGCATAATCAAATCAAATCATCTCTTTGGTTCTGCAACAGACTATCAAATTGAAGCATACGGAACCTGTCTTATCTGATTGTACGGTGATATAAAGTGACTAAAATACCTACATGATGTGAACATATAACAAGTACAAAAAGGCAAGATGGTCCATCTCAACCTGGCAGCAAAACTGTATTTAACACCAATCAAAAACTGGATATTACATCATTACTGAGATGAGATTGTCAAGGGAATTGAAACCTTCTTTTGCAGCTAACATAACCCTACAACATCTGGTGCCTAAGCTTCAAGTGAAGTAAAACATTTAGAAAAAGATCACATAGAATCACTCTTAAGGCATCTATATTTTTAAGTTATTTCCAAAGTGCCATGTCAATTACCAAGAAGTTGCCATAAGGAAGCCCACTACCTGTCGCCAAATAAAACCCCTGCAACAGAAGCTAATACGCTTCCCACACCAACATCAACCACCAACCCAACCCCCCCCCCCCCCCCAAACCACCACCACCCAAATCTCTCTCTCTCTCTTTTTTTGGACAAGATAGGCATTGAAAACACAGTTTTCATACTGGCTCGCAACATGAGACAAAGCAACTCTATGACACCCACACCCCTGATACTAGACAGTGGGTTTGCCTAGGCCACTCTAGGAAGCAGCAGCCAATGTGCTCAGAATAAGCTCTTGTCAGCAAGCCATTCACTTGCTTGTCAACAGGTTAATACAGCAATAAAGTTATCAACAGTCAAGGATGGAATGGGAAGAAAATAAGTGACCACCTATTTGCAAAAACAGTATAATGCATGGAAGAGGGAAGGAAAAAAAACCAAGATCTAAGAAAACGTACCATCACTTGAGTAGATGTATAATTCCAGGAACAGGAAGCACTAGCACTAGAAAGATGACTTAAGAATTCACCAAACCTACAATGCCGTGGCAAGCAGTTAAGACGCAGATGTATTTCCTTGTATATATGCAAATGCATGCATATTTAAGAGAAAAAACAATGGAACCACAAGAAATATAAAGAAAAAAATACTTTCTAAAGAAGATAAATAGTTAATTATCAATATAAAACTCATCATTCACCTTCGATACACCATAAATTACATACATCATCAATAAAGTAGAACAAAATTAAAATTTGACAAAGCAAGTCATTTCTTTCCAAACAAAAGCTCAAATTACCAACAATTCTCTCAAGATAAAGAGTACGAAAATTCAAAATACACCACAAAATATCTCCTTTTACATTTCTATGCACATAATTATAAAAATTCCTTCAAGACCATTGAAAAACAAAAAAAGGACAGTAACCCACAAAGATATTGTTAAGATTAATTGTATTGCAGAGGCAACTAATTCTAAAAGCTGCCCAAGAAGGTAAACTAATCCTGGCGGCCTCCAACATTTATATCCATAAACAAGCTTTAAAATTGAAATAATGAGCACCATACAAAGTATACATAGACCTACAACTGATTGAGACAATAAAATTTATAAGAAATAAAAAGGAAGATTAGAAGAAGCAGAAATATTCTTACAGGAGAAAATTTGAAGCAGTTAGAAAGCCGGTTATTGTTTGAGGTTGTTTCTTGCTGAAGAGAAATTATAAAATACGATCTTAAGTTTTGATAAAAACAAATGTTTCCAACGCTTCAAAAAAGGGTCGGGTGTGCACCCACCAATATGGCGGTTACTTTGGGCCCAAACTTTAGGGTTGAGATGGTCGTCCAAAAAGAGAAAACATCATATTAGTCCTCTAAATATCCACTAATTATAATATGAATCCTCAATCTATGATTTTATTAACTGGACCCCTCAATTATTTTCTTTCTTCAATTAAGTTTATAATTTACTTTCCAAATTAAAAGTATGATTTTGAGGAAAGGTTGATTTTTTCCATTAAGAAATGGAAACTTTTTAGACAAGGAACTAAATTGAAGATTGTGTGATACTTTAGGGGCCTATTCAAAAACATTTTGTTCGAGATATGTTTGGGTGAATGATTTGAGGTTTGCCTAAAGGAATTATGATTTCTCAATTCATTATATTTTACTAAAAATAAAAATGGATAATCAAGTGAATAAGTACTATACTTTTGTATATCTTTCACATTTAAATTTAAATTGATAGTATCTCTAATTTATCTTTTATAAATTATATTTGAAATAACGTTTCTCAATTAAGAATATATAATGATTTTATAAATTAACCACACTAAACTTTACTATATACTGTTGCTAGCGTTATTCGTGTTGAAAGGATATTCAATGGTAAAAATTAATTAATTCCATAAAAAAAATAACAAATATCCAAATCTATAGAAGTATCGCTTACCCAAATCATGTTGGGTTAACCAATATCTAAATCTATACGTCATGCTCATGTGAATAAAAATAGAGATAAACAGTTCGGTTTAGCTCAAAAAACTAAATCGAACTAAATTGAAAATTTTTAGTTTATTTTTTAACTCAATTAAAAAAATAACAATTTTTATTTTAGTTTTTCAATTTTGGTTTGGTTTTTGAAGTTTTTGGTTTAGTTTAAATTGAAAACCATTTTTTTTCTTTTTAGATTTTTTTTTTAAATAATGTAAATAAACTTATATATATATGGATTGATGGTGTTTTGGGTCACATAGATAAGTTTTTAAATTTTATTTGCTTGATATATGAATTTTTAAACTTAAATATTTTGATAAATTATTTGGTTTAATGGTTTTTTGTTTTATTTGGCTTAATGAGTGTTTTCTTTTTTAATTCAATATATTCCTTGAAACTTAGGCGTTTTTTTAAATATTTTTCATTTTATATTATATATTTTGAACCCACCAAGTATAATCATGATATATAAAAAAATAAATTGGAAGCAAAGTTTTGTTAGAAATTAACTATGCATCTATACACATAGCACCAATTATTTACTATTATTATTTTTTAATATTATAAAATCAACTTTTTTAAAAAATAAAATAATTGAAATAATATTTTAGAAGAACTATCTAGTGATCAAATACAAATTTTTTATACTAATATTATTCATTAGTTTAGGAATAAATATATATTAATCAAATATATATGTTTTCAAAAAAATAATATTTTCTCAAAAAAATAATCTTTTCATCACCATTAAATAAGAATAAGAAAATATTTTTATTTGTTAATTTTTATACAAATTTTTCTAATTATTGTTATATATATATATATATATATATATATATATATATTAAGAAAAAAATAGTAATGCATTTTTTAAAAAAATTAATTAAATTTTCTATTTATATTATTGCAAGTTGTTTATTTAAGAATCAATGCATAAAGAAGAACAAATCATGTTTTTTTGTAAAAAAAAATGTAAAAACATAAGAATTGTTAAATACAAAATTTTGATTAAAAAATCATAAAATTGGATTTTATTTTTATTTTTGATTCAATATGTTTTAGTAATTCCATATCATAGCGTGAGCTATTAAACTAAAATAAATTTTTAAAATAATTTCACTTATTTTGTCCGACTCGTAGTGTAATACGAAAAATAAACTAGTTTTAAACTAAAAGAAACAATTCATTTAAAGGAAATTATATATATATATATATATATATATATATATATATATATATATATAAAAGCATTGTATTTAAAAGCCAAGTTTATGTTTTCACACTAATAATGATGCAAGGGGTGAACACCATCGGAAAAATACCAATTAGCTATGAAATTTTTTCGATCGCTAAAATTTTTGAAATTTAGTGAAGTTAGCGATGGACGTCCATCACTAATTTGTGCCTTTTTTGGCGGGAAAATTCCTCCAAAATGACCAAAAGTTAGCGACGGATTCCAAAATCCGTCGCTAAAATTAGTGATAGATTTGGGAGTTCGTCGCTAAAATTAGTGACGGACTTCAAATCCTTCATTAACTTTTCAAATCCGTCGCTAACTTTGGGCCATTTTGGGGAGGCACAATTAGCGATGGATTTTGGAATCCGTCACTAATTTATGCCTTTTTTGGAGGGAAATTCTCCCAAAATGGCACAAAGTTAGCGATAAATTTTGAAATCCGTCGCTAAGGGTTGAGATTTTAGGAGGAAATTTCCTCCCAAATCCCGATCAGGTAGCGATGCACGCCAAGTCCGTCGCTACCTCACCGATGTTTAGCGACGGACGTTTCGTCCATCCCTAAACTTCGAGAATTTAGAAAGGAAATTTCCTCCCAAATTAGCGACGGACCCATAATCCATCGCTAATTAGCGAAGAAATCGGATCCGTCGTTATTTTGCCTTTATATGTACCCCCTTCTTCTTCTTCTTTACTTGCTTCCCTCACCTCCACCACACCTCTTCCGTCGTCGCCCACTCACGCCGCCCCAAACCACTAAATCTTTTTTAAAACCATTCAACAAAGTGAGGGGTATCTTTCTCACTTAAAATCGGATCGGATCTATGTTTTCTATCCTTGATCTTTCGGCTAAAACTTTCTCTCTCTAATTTTTATGTTTTCTTTTTTATTAGATCATTGTTATAAATTTTTAGATAAATTTTTTTATTTGTTAGTTTATTAATTGTTTGAATGTTGTAAATTATCTTGTTGTGTTAATTTTTTGTTATGTTAAGTTGTATGTAGTAGTTTAAATTTGTTAATTGTTATTTTTTTTTTGTAACTCGTTAGATTAATTTTGATAAGTTTTATTTTGTTATTATGTTAATTGTTAGGTTAATTTGTATATTAACGTAAATCTTAAAAATTTAAATTTTGTTAATGCTTAGTTGTTAGATTAAAATTTACTTATTTAATCTTAAATTGTTATTTTAATTAAGTGAGTTAATTATATATTTATTTGTTTTTAGTTTTAGGTTAATTTGGTTAGTTGTTTGTTTAAACTTAATTTTGAAATTATATAATTTTTTTATGTAGTTTTGTTAAATTTAGTTAAAATTATATAATTTTTGACATAGTGTAGT